ACCAAGCCAGTGACTGGGAAATGGGGGAGTCCTCTTTTCCTTTGGGGATCACATGCTAGGATGAAGCTTTTTGAAGACCTTGTGCAATAGCTACTGAACTACAGGTGAGAAAAGGGATGCCAGTGGCACAGATGGACCCACCACAGAGAGAAAGTCCGTGCATGGAGGAAGAAACATACAATCACCCAACGAAGCAGAACCTAGAGCTGAAGGTGAAGATTAACCTGATGCAGTTATGACCAAGACACATTCATCGTCTCTCTTCATAGGTACAGGTAGTGTTCAGATCTTTTATTGTTTAAAATAATATTGGGGGCTGATAAGATGGCACAGCAGATAAAAGGTGCTTGTCACCAAGCCTGAACCTGAGTTTGAACCCCAGGACCCACATGTGGAGAGAGAGGACTGACTTTATTTTTTTAATGTTATTTATTTTTATTTTATGTGCATTGGTGCTTTACCAGCATGTGTGTCTGTGTGAGGGCGTCGGATCCCCTCGAACTTGAAGAACTGCAGAGAGTTGTCAGCTGCAATGTGATGCTGGGAATTGAACCTGGGTCCTCTGGAAGAGCAGCCAGTGCTCTTAACCACTGAGCCAACTCTATAGCCCCCAAGTGAACTAATGTTCAAGTTGTCCCCTGACCTCCCTATTCTAGGGCCACAGCACATGTATATATGCATGCACACACATGAATAAATGACGTAATTAAAAATAAATTGGACTCGTCACAATAAAACGCTCTCCTCACCTAATCAACCAAAGCCTACACTTTCTCACCTAAGCTGTAGTTAAACATGAATTCATGCTGTGTACACTTGCTGAGTACCTCATCAGTGCCAAGCACTACCCAGGCTTTGTGCTAGGTATGTGGGGGTCACACTGACAGACAAGATCCAGTCCTTTCATCCAAGTAGCTGGTGATCTCCTGAGGCAAGCTTGTGTAGAAGATGATATGGTAAAAAGAGTATGATGATGAACAGAGCCTCTTTGGTCAAGAACACACACACAGCTCTTGCAGAGGACCCAATTCAGGCAGCTCATAATCACGCCTAACTGTGGTTCCAGAGGCTCTACTGATCTCTCTGACCTGAAGACATCCACACAACTAAAAGAGTTGGGTGTAGTGGTACATACCTTTAATCCCAGCATTTGGGAGACAGAGGCAGCCTGATTTACAAGATCCAGGCCAGTCAGGGTGACAGAGTAAGACGCTGACTCGGAAAAAAAAAACCAAAACAAAACAAAAAACAAACAAACAAACAGAAGAAGACCTGAATTCAATTCTCAGCACCCACATGGAGGCTCACAACCATCTGTAAGTCTAGTTCCAGAAGCATCTGAAGCGTGCTTTTGGCCTCCACAGGCAGCAGGCACACATGTAGTGCTTACATACACACAGGCATGTAGGCAAAACACTTAATATACTTTCACACTTTAGTAATAGTAATAGTAATACTAATGGTAATAGTAATACAAAGTAGAAGAAAGTCATTTGTACCTATTTTGCAGCAAAAAAAAAAAAAATGCATTTTTGAGGACACTAAGGTAGCTCGGTATTTGCCACAATCCCGGTAACCAGAGTCCTCAGGGTGGGAAGATAAAATGGACTCCCACAAGTTGTCCATATGCACATCCAGTTGTGGGCAGCCACACACAAAACACATGAGTAAAATTATTAAATATTAAATTTACATTACTGGCCAGATACAGTGTCAATGCTTGTAACCCCAGGAGTTTCAGGTGAAAGGCAGGAGGATCAGAAGTTTAAAGTCATTCACAACTACAAAGCAAGTTTGAGACCAGCGGAAGCTACATAAAAACATGTCTCAAAAATGTTTTAACTGAAGCATTTTTAAAAATTAGGCTTACTTCTTTCTATTTTGTGTGTATGGGTGTTTTGCCTGAATACGTACCATTGCACCATGTGTGGGAAGTATCCTTGGAGGCCAGAAGAGGGCATCGGATCCCTGGACCTAGAGTTACGGATGTTTGTGAGCTGCCATGTGGGTAAGTGCTGGGAACCAGACCTGAGTCTTCTGCAAGAGCAATAAGCATTCTTAACCATTTAGCGATCTCTCTAGCCCCAAACTTACACATTTTCTTAAAAATGATAATGGAGAAAAAAGCTTAGGGTGGTAACAAGAAGAAAGAAGAGAAGGAGGCGGACGGGAAGATGGAACCTCCAAGAGACAGCGGACAGAGGAGGATCAAAGAATTGTCGAGAACCAACAGCAGGAACAGGAGTCCAGGCAGGGAACCTGGGGAGGAATGGATGCACTCTGGAAGGAGTGGGCAAGCCCACATTGGACTGGAGCAGAGGAGGGCCCACTGGGGACTGCTGAGAGGGCTGTTTTAATGAGCCTGGCTGTTATGTGCTGAGGTATGTGTAAGGCAAGGCACAAAGTGGACATAAGCTTCCTGTGCTGGGAAGGAGGCAGTGCGGGAGAATCCAGGAGCATTTTTTAAGATAGGAGACAATGGACATCTTAAGAGATGACCTTCTTCCACAGGTCACAGATACACATAATGCCTTGCGCCTGAAACTGAGCTAAGGATCCCTTCCTTCCTTGTCTCCTCCCCTCTCCCGCCTTTTAAACGCAAAGTGAATTTAAAAGAAATCAGTAAAGAATGAAATGGGTTCTCTGGGCAGTGGTGGTGCATGCCTTTATTCCTAGCACTCAGGAGGCCTAGGTAGGTAGATCTTTGTGAGTTTGAGTCCAGCCTGGTCTACAAAGTTTGTTCCAGGACAGCTAGGGTTACACAGAAAAACCCTGTCTCGAAAAGCAAACAAGAAAGGGGTGATAGAAAGACCTAGAGGGGAAAGGAGCTCCATAAGACCAAGAGAGCCAAAGTGGGGGGGGGGGGGCTACAGAGGTGCTCTAACCAAGTGGATTCCCTAGTAAGGGGCACAGGGGCTGTCTCTGACCTGGACTCTGTGGCCAGCTCTTTGATCACCTCTCCCTTGGGGGTGCAGCCTTGCCAGGCCACAGAGGAAGACAATGCAGCCAGTCCTGATGAGACCTGATAGGCTGGAGTCAAGAGAACCTCCCCTCAGTGGACTAGGAGAGGAGCATAGGGGGAGAAGAGGGAAGGAGGGTGGGAGGAGATGAGGAAGGAGGCTACAGCTGGGATATAAAGGGAATAAATTGTAATAAGTAATAAATAAATATTTTTTTAAAAAGATGAACAAGAAAAAGATTGAAATGGGTTCTTTTTCAATATTGGTAGCTAAAACCTTAAAGTAATTAACACTAAACTCTGAATACCATTGTACACACTATAAAACCTGCCTTTCTTAACAGTTCCCAACTTAACTAAGAGCCTTGTTGTCTGTTCAGCACCCTGGACAGCGACTCACCTAGGGGCTGCAATCGCTATCAGAAAGGTCGACCTTCTTCCTTTTCCAATAGACACCGCCACAGTTCAGATCTCTACCCTCATCTATGGGGGTTGTAAGTAACCCATCCTACAGTGCTCATGACCTCTGAAGCTTTTTGCCCTATCAGCCCAGATACGTATGTCACTGATGATGTCAAATAGGGGCTGTGGAGAAGTGCACAGAAAAAGTTCACTGTGGCAGTGTGCATTTATTGTCCCAGAACTGGGAAGGCAGAGACAAGAGGTTCCCTGTAACTCAGTGGCCACCCAGCCTAGCCATACTAGTGAGCCCCAGGCTCAGTGAGAGATCCTGTCTGCTGAAAAAAAAAATTAGGTGAAGAAAACATTAACACATATACATGTGCACACACATACACCAAAGAGTAAGTAAAATAGTCTCTGAAGAACGGCCTTCTCTCCTTTCTTTGAGATTTGTGCTTATGCAGCCCAGGCTGGTATCAAACTTGCCGTGAAGCCAAGGATGCTCTGAACTTCTGATCCTTCTGCCTCCACCTCTGAGTGCTGGGAAAATCGTAGCAATGAAACTCAGGATTTGTTGTGTACTAGGCAAGCGTTGAACAAACTGAGCTATATCCCCAGCCCCTCTGCTTGGAGGTGAAGTACACCTGCCACACCTATCTTTAAGGGTGGCTGAATCTGACCAGCTCTTGGCTTTGCAGGCACCAGCTTTTGTCTCTGCTCCTTTCCACACAAATTGCCAGTGAGCCCCATGAGGGTTCTACTCCATTGGGAAGCACTGGGCTGTCATACCTTCATCTAGGCTCATGCTGGTCTCCATTCTTGGGACTTTGTTTTGCAGATCCAGCTCAAATGCCACTTTTTCCATAAACCTTTCCCTGACACCCTCTTCCACCTCAAGTCCCCTCACAGCACAGTCCTCCCTTACTATAAACTCTCAAAGACAGGTCCCACAAGCTGGGATCATCAATACGCACAAAAGCTGGACCCCCTCCTTACTTATACACTACAGGCAGCAACACTGCAAACGGCTATCTTCACAGTGTCCGCCAGTACCCTACCAGAGGAATCACCAAATCGCGGGTAAGTTAAAGTTCAAGCAGCCGAAGCAATTTTCTAAAATGCTTTTTGGGAAAGATTTGTTTTTGTTTTAGGTGTGTGAGTGTTCTGCCTACATGTATGTACATGCTCCATCTAAAATTCTAACCAGAAGAGGGCACCGAATCCCTTAGGGCTAGAGTTTCAGACAGCTCTGAGTCACCATGTAGGTACTGGGAATTGAACCCAGGCCCTCTTCAAGAGTAACAAGTGCTCTCAACTGCTGAGCCATCTCCCCAGTGCCCAACCAAAGTCAGTTTTCAACATTTACCACATGCAACTAGACAAACTGGTTAACTAAATAAATCCAAGAACGACCTTGTAGAGCACAATGGCTCTCCAGTCACTTACAAAGAGGTCAGAGCTCACTGGGTCTTCTCATCCCCACAGTTTGCTCTGGTTGAGCTCTGAGGTTTCATGATCAGCTGCTTTAGTCTATGTCATGTGCCCAGTTCAATGTGCAAAGTCAGGCTCATGCAGGTGCCTGAAGTTTAATAATAAAGCAGAGAACCTATGTCTGAACCAATTATTTTGGGTACATCACCATTCTCACAACAGTGCTCCCAGGGTGGAATGCTTCTGTGCCGGAATGAAGAAGCGAAGGCTCAGATTGGTCAGATCACTTGCCCGTGGCCAGGAAATACCTGTAACAAATTTGCTGCTGTGTGAGGACCTCTGATGAAATCAAGCCTTCTAGTGTCACCCTTAGGTGATCCCCTCCCACTGACTGGACATCAGCAAGCTTCATGCAAGCTGAAGCCAGATAAGTGGTTGACAAGTACATTGACTTGTTCCAAGATGACAAGTGCATCAAGACTTGTCATCCTAGAACATTCCCCCACAGGGAGCTTTGGGACCCAGCTGCTGGATCCCAGTTGTGTAGAATTACCTAAGGCCAAAGTGGAAAGAGACCCTGGGGGCTGAGAGGCCACTTTGAGAGGTTGTGTATGATTCCAAGTGACATCTACACATCCCATAGCCATAGTCACAGGCAACTCACAAGCCATGAAGAATAGTGTCACTGCTAGTGGTTGATACATGCCTAGAATCCTAGCTTCCTAGCTGGCTGGGAGACAGGAGGGCTGCAAGTTTAAGCCCAGTGGTAGATCATTTGCCTAGTATGTGTAAGGTCCTGAGTTCAAGTGTCCTCACTAAAATAAGCAAGCAAACAAATGCTATTCAAAAGTTTCTAAATCCTGTGGCTGCTTGTTATACAGTAGTGAGTCACTAAAACCCTGACAAGCTAGAACTTGAACACAGCACCTCCTGACTGACTCCTGTTCTATGCTATGTTCCTTCTGGCTGAAGAGTGGGATATCCGTACCAATCCTGAAATGTTCATAGGATGATGGACCCATACTGGCACTCAGCGAATAATTGTTAAACATACATAAAGCATTATGAGAGGAAAGAAGGTCTAGGGAACTCAGAGGCAAGAAAACAACCTTCATCACCCCCTTACTCTCCCAGGTACATCTCAGTGTAGGGACAAAAGTCTGTATGTCACAGATCTCTGTCCCCTGTCCAACCAGTGAAATTCAGATCAGGCTAAAGTGGAAAGCTAGCAGTTTGGTTTTTGTGACTTTCCCCATCTGGCCCCCAACTTCCTGCCTGATCTACCCATGGCATCTTCTCTCCCTCTCACTTGGCCTTCAGGGCCCAAGAGCACTTCCCTTCCATGAAAAATACACATGCAGGGAAGAAGCAGGGAAGGCTGGAGTCAAACAAGGGGAAGGAAGGTTTGGGTGGTCTTAGATGGATTTAGAAGCCCAAACCGAAGCTCTAAACCAGGTGTTTTCAAGAGGACTCCACCAGCAGGTGGAGGCATTCTGAGGATGAGGAGGCAGCTGGAGGTGTCCACATTATACCCCATTATGGCCCAGTGGGTGGAGAATAAAGGAATGCCCTGCCTCTAAATCCCCCAACCCTCCTAGGCCGGGGCCTTAGCCCTGCAGCTGTAACTCCAAACTGGGTGCCTGCTGAACAGTCACCCAACCTGGTAAAGACCCATGGGAGTCACCACTGCCAGTCTTCTTCCTGCCCCCCCCCTCCCGCCTTTCTGTTCTAAGCACCCCCTCCTTGTGGTCCTGCAAACATGCACACGCCTCCCAAGGTCACACACACAGGCTCCTGCACCTGGATCCCACACCCGGAAAACCATCTGAGCCCTCACCGCAGGCTCAGCCAAAGGGAGGGGGCAGGCCTCACTCTCCTCCAGACAGGCTGTAAGCAGTGCACACAGGCACAGTATCACACACGCATGCAGAGCGATGGAGTTGAGCCCATACCTCCAAGAGACACTGTCGGCACAATCATTCACGCAGGTAATAGGGTGTGGGGAGGCAGAAACATGCGTGCACACATATGAACACCTCCGGACAGTCACACGTGCACACCGGCACGCACAGACAACCGTACAGGTGCCTAGCCAGGCCTCGGGACCAAGATCCTCCCCCATTCCATCACCAGCAGTTGGAGAGAGCTGGGGTTCCAGGGCACTCCCCCTTCTCCCTCTCCAAGGTCCAGAGTCCCAGCGGGTTTTTTCTGGAGCCCGCCCCCACCCCCCAACAAGGCTCAGGCAGCGACAGGCGGGAGGGGGGAGGGGAAGCCTGGTCTCAAACCCGTTCTGATTTTAATTCCTGAAATTAACCCCTTGGCTGCCTGGAGCCTGCCCTGCCCAAAATCCCTCCCAGTTCTGGCGGCTCCGCGGCCTCAGGAGGGCAATAAGGAAAAAGGCTGGGGAGGAGGGGGCAGCGGCTGAGGTCCTCCCTGCATAGCCTCTCCAAGAGCAGTCCTGCAGCACGCCCCAGACTTGCCCTTACCTTCTCTAGCCCGCGGCAAGGCCGGGCACCGCGGCCCTGGGCTAGGGGCGCAGAGGCACAGACCCCGCGTGCCCGGTCCAGACGCAGGGCCGCCACCGGGCCTCGGATTTCGGTCCCCACTGCAGCTTTGGGTGGCCGCCGCCGCCGCCTCCCGGTTGGGGCGGGGGCGGCCGAGTCCCCCAGCCCGGCGCAGCGGGAGGGGCTCGCGATGCGTTCACGGGCGGGGTGCGCCGGGAGGAGGAGGGGGAGGTAGGAGGGGGCGCTCGGCCCCGGCGCAGCTTGGCGACAGGGAGGGAGGCCGCGGGGAGGTGGGGCGGAGACGGCCCCTCCTCCGGGGCGGGCTCTCCAGCAAGCGGCGAGCGGCAGATGCAGCCAGGAGAGGCTGCGCCCGGACCCCACGTTTCCCGCAGAAGCTGGTGGCTCTGGTGGGGGATGGGCGCTAAGGGGTGGGGTGCTATCTGCTGCCCCACTCCAGGCACCAACCCGAAGGCATTCCTGTGCCTCGAAGCTTCCAGCTGTGGCCTCTGCTGCCCACCTTTAACCAGGGCCTGCCCACCCTAACCCACCCCTCGGGCTTGGCCTGCACGCAGTGAGGAGCAGATCCTGGGATGGGTGGTTCTGGGGACCGAAAAGAGGCTGGCATGGGCACTACGACATACACCACAATTCTTCATGGGCCTCTGGGCTGAGCCCAACTGCAGGTCTTGCACTCAGTGGCTTCAGGTCAGGTGCGTTGTCTTTGGGAAGACTTGGCTGCACAGGGTCACACTGTGTCCTGTTCCTGGACCGAGTATTGCACTTAGGTCCTCTTCTGGACCTACAAATGCAAAGAAGCAGGGAACATAACACTGGTTTGCTCCAGACAAACCCACTTCCTCAGGATAGGCCCCAGGATCCCCAAGCTGGAAGCATCTAGAAGGCCCCGCACCCTTGGTAACTTAAGGCCTAGCTCTCAGCTGAGGAAGGCACAGCCTGGCTGTCTTATGCTAGAAGAAGTCTGCAGGGCTAAGTTGCGCTGGAGAAGGAAAAACAAAATAACAAACCCCGTTGGGGTTCCTAAGCAAAGCCAAGGCTGAAGCAAGCCTTGGATGAAGAAAAGGGAGATGATAATTCTACCACAGTTATTCAGTGGGGCTGCACTCGGGCCTGCAGCAGAGCAGAACTCCAGCATAATTCCAGGACTCCAGAGGAGGCTTTGGGTGGCTTCTGCGGACCCCATCTCACTCCTGTAGGGTCAGAGACCCCAGGACATGGAATATGGGGTAGGAGTCTGAAAACTGGTCAGGAGGTTTATGGGAAACGATAAATGGCCAAACAGATGAAGCAACTTCTCGTTTTCTTCCTGAAGCTCTGAAGTCTTCCCACCTCCAGGAAGTCTTCTTGGATGGAGAAGGGAGATCACATCTTCTAAGATTTGAATAATTAAGCATCATGATCACGCTAATCATTTTACTATACATCGTTCTCTTCCCAATAAGAGTAACAATGCAGCAGCTCTTACTGTCACCACTGTGATGGTTTGCCCTGTCAACTTGAGTGGGTTTGTAATCCCCTACAGTGTGTCTTAAGGGGAGTTTAGACAGAGGTTCTATTGAGAGGAGAAGACCCTTCCTTGTAGGCAGTGCCATCCATGCACTCAGGTCCCAAACCGAATAAAAAGGAGAAAGTGAGTCAGGCACCAGCATTCACTGCTGTCTGCTCCCAGACCGGGGACATAATTAGACCAATTGCCAAACACTCCCATTGCCACGCTTTTCTGGACGGGCTGGACTTTACTCCATCAAACAAATAAGCCCAAAATAAGCTTCCTGCCTTAAGTTGCTATTGTCAGGATTTGGGTCACTGAAATGAGAAAATAACCCACTTCTGCAGGTGGAGAAGTTAAAGTTCAAAGTTGAACGAACAGCAGGACCAGAATTTGAATGCAAGGTACTCAGTCAATCCAATGATCAAAAGCACAGCATCCTCATGCTATCTTTTTGCTACAGTAAAGTTCCCAAGCCTGCTCCTGTCAAAACGCAGGCTTCATAAATTCGCGTGTTTCTGTAGCTAGACAACGTACCTCTTTATCATCTTAGTTCCAGCTTTGTTGTGTTATTGCTCTTACTCTCTGCTTGTTGTGAATACACTAAAACAAATTAGGGCATGGAGTGTGCTGTGTTTTGTGCCCGTATAAAAATGCTTTTGTATGGACATGGAGGTATGTACCTGTGGGTATGCAGCTATAAATAGATGCATGTGTGTATTTGTGAGTGCATGTGTGCACGGTTGTGTATGCATGTGGACATATGTATGCATGTATGTGAGGGTGTGTGTGCTGTCCTTATGCACATCAGTACACACAGGTATTCCCATATGTGCATACACATGTATGTGCTTATGCATGAATGCATGTGCGCATGTGTGGCCATGCTATATTTCACAGACAACAGTTCCTGCTTGGTTGTTATGGGAACCACTGTTCTAAAAATGTGAATCCCACTCCATGTGGGCCAGAGAAACCAACAGAGTGAGTGCTCAGTGACAAATACATCTAGGGCTCTAAGGCTGTGGCAGGGCATCATGAATTAAGGATCAGGCAGGTCCCAACTAGTCAGAGGTACAATCCTCCTCTCATGGTCCCACGGTTATTTTAGGGCCTCCATCCTGCCTCTTCTCTCTCCTCCTCCCCCAGCTTCATGCTCTCTGTCCACCTTTCATCTCTCTCTCCTTTTTTGTGAACTAATCAGAGCAGTGATCAAATTCTTAAGTGAACTGCGTTATCTTGGTGCGATGGAGGTCACATGTGTGGATCAAACAAGGTTTCCACCTTAGAGAGAGCTCAAAGGTGTGGATATTTGGGTATTAGATTGATAAGGGAAAAGATAAAGAGACGATGGAGATAGGTGGAAGACCAATTTAGATAAGACATGGAAGGCTTTAACTGAACATTCTGTTTTTTGAGACAGGGTTTCTCAGTGTAACTTGGCTATACTAGACTCAAAAAATTGTGGACCAAGCTGGCCTCAAACTCACAGAAATCTGCCTGCCTCTGCCACTCAAGGGCTGGGATTAAAGCCATGTACCACTATGCCCGGCTTCCTTTAAAAGATTTTATATTTAGTTATGTGAATATTTGTGTGTATGAGCACACATGTGTGGATCCCCCTCAGTGGCAAGAAGAGAACATGAGCTCTCTTGGAGCTGGAGTTACAGGTGGCTGTGAGCTGCCATGTGGATTATGGAAACTGAACTCAGGTTCAGTCCAATAGCAACAAATGCTTTTAGCTACTGAGCCATCTCCCTAGCCTTCCTGTATGTGATTTTGTTTTGTTTGTGAGATAAGATCTCTCTGTGCAGCCCTGGCCCTGGCTGTCCTGGAACTATGTAGACCAGGCTAACCTCAAACTCACAGAGATCCACTTGCCTTTGACTCTTGAGTGCTAAGATTAAAGGCAAGTGCCACCATGCCCCAAGTGGATGTCATTTTAAAATATTTATTTAGTGTGTATACATGTACATGAGTGTGAGCTCATGTATGCCATGGCTTGTGTGAAAGTTAGAGGGTATCTTTCTGGAGTAATTTTTCTATCTGCAGCTGCCCTGCACACTCCATGCTAGCTGACTGTGCACTTCCAGTGATTCTCCTAAGATTTCAGCATCTCCACCTCCTATCTTATGGGAGGAGTGCTGGGATTACAGATTCCCATCACTATGTCTGCTTTCTAAGTGGGTTTGGGGCAATAAATTCAGGTCATCAGGCTTGTGTGGCTAGTAGCACTTTTATCCCTGGCCCAGGTACATGTATTTTGGTACAAGGCTGGAGATCCTGGTGTTTGGGTTAAACCACTATTATGTCATGAATGGTGTTTTAAGGAGTCTTTACCATTAGTGCTGTGTTATGGGATAGAAGGAGATACGAGTCAGGAAACAGTTGGGTAGTTCAAACTGGTTATATTGGTCTTTTCTCAAAGAGAGAACAGGTTGGTTGGGATGAAAGGAAAAGACAAGCAAATGCTCTAGGCTGCTTTGTCCAATTCTTCCAGATGATACCTACCTCATCAGAATTCTTATTTCTGGGCCTGAGGATGTAACTCAGTGGGTAGAGGGCTTGCACAGCATGCAGGAGGCCTTGGGTTAGGTCCACAGTACCAATCAGGTAGTTTGGTAGTAGAGAGATGGATGATGGATGGATGTGATAGATAGATGGATGCAAACTTTTATAGAGGGAATGAAATTTAGAGAAAGAACAAAATGTCAGCACAAAAAACATGCGATACGTTGCGTTCAGCCCCTGGAAGGCCTGGGGAGGGAGTCAACTGCATGTAAGCCCTTTGGAGGAGGAGGCTCTGCCTCTGAAAAATTATAACTACTCATACCTACATGGACCAGGAACTCCAAGTGAAGGAATTGTCAAAAGATTCAGCTGAGTGAGTGTGGTATGACATGTTTGTAATACCAGCACTGTGGAGGAAGAGACCACACAGAGAGCTTGAGGAGAGCCTGGGCTACATGAGACCCTGTCTCTAAGGACAACAAACAAAAGACTGATCACCACTGGCTCATACTCTTAGAGTGCCGGGCAAGTTTGATTCCAACTCAGGGTAAAAGAGAAAAGAACTGAGTTTGGGGAAATGTCCTCATTATAAAAAGTAGTTGAGAGGAGTTGTTTATAGGTTTCTCTCCTCTCAGTAAACACAGATTAAAAGACATCTTTCTGCAAAGTATGATGGCTTGTACCTGCAGCTCAGTTCTAGAGCCTGACATATGAGGATCACTGTAAGTTGAAGGCCAGACTCAACTAGTGTCTAAATAAATAAATCACACACACACACACACACACACACACACACACACACACACACACACATGAACACAAAAATTCAAACCAGAAACTGGAGAGAGGGCTCAATGGTTAAGTGTGTTTTGTTTTTGAGAAAATCAGAGTTCAGTTCCTAGCACCCACCGCAGGCAACTTATCGCCACCTCTAGTTCCAATTCCAAGCGATCTGGCTCCCTAGACTGGCTTCTTTGGGCACTGCATGCGTGTGCTGCACTGACAGGTTTACAGGCAAAACAACCATATATAATAAAAATAATTAAAGATGGGAGGCATGGTGGTGCACACCTTCAATCCCAGGACTCTGGAAGGAGAGGCAGCAGGATCTCTGTAAGTTTGTACTTATCAAGCTCCAGGACAGTTGGGACTACAGAGAGACCTTGTTTCAAAAATACAAAAGAAGGGTCTGGAATGATAGCACAGTGGTTAAAAGCACTGAGTGTTCTTCCAAAGGACCTGTGTTCAATTCCCAGCACCCAC